AGAGTAACCCAATCTTTTGCCAATTACTTGCAATATATAGTGATCCGCAACCTGTCTTCCAATTTGTTGCAACTAATGATGACATTGGAAGTCGTCTTAAGAATTTGAGTTCACTTTTAAATAACATAAAAGCATTTTACGAGAATGTCCTGGGACAAACACTTGTCATTAGAATACCTGATATCGTGAAGATTGCAGTCAATCCCAGCGATGAGTCTTCCAGTTGTGAAGAGATGCGGGTTTTGTTGCTATTAATGCTCGGATGTGCCGTTCAGTGCGAACGCAAAGAGCACTTCATTGATGGCATCAAACGACTGGACATTTCTGTTCAGCACTCGATCGTGGAATGCATACAAAAAATAACAGACAATCCGGAGTCAGTTTGGCTGAGCTCTGAGTGGAATGTATTGCCCGAAGAAGAACACGACAGACAAAGATTATACTCACTATTAGTTCAGCACATGAATGGACTCGTCAGAGAGAGATATGACTTATACAATAAAATCACTGATTTGTCTCTTGAGTTGAACACCAATTGTCGCAATGATTCAAATGAAGGCAACTCTCTCTTCATCTCTAGTCTTAATATAGCGAATAGTGTCGGCGACCAGAAGTCACATCTTATCGCTGAGTTGGCGGACATAAAGTCAAAGTTGAGACGAGTTCAGCAAGAATTAGAAGAGAAGAATGAAGTGGTTTCAGAGCTGAAGGAACTTCTGGAGCAAAGCAAAGAGTCGTCCAGTAAATTAAGACACGAGAACCTGGACCTCATTCAAGAGGCCCGCTCTGTGAAAGCATATCGCGATGAGATCGATGTCCTCAATGAAAAGGTCCGGAAAGTGGATCACTTGGAAAACGAAGTTCACAGATATAGAGACAAAATGAATGAATTGGAGTTTTATAAGTCGAGAGTCGAGGAACTGAGAGAAGATAACCGGATATTAAGTGAGACAAAAGTGATGCTCGAAGAACAGCTCGACGTGAACCGCAAGAAAGCCGATCAGTTGCCAGAACTCGAGGCACAGATCCTTAAACTCAGCGCTTATTCCGATGAAATGGCGACTCAGAAGGATTTGGACAGAAGTAAGATCGAGACATTTATTGAGGAAATCACTCAATTGAGATTAGATAAGAAGTCCAGTGCAGAGGAATTGACAAAAGTGCAGTCAGAGTTAACTCATCTGAGATCTCAAATGAAAGTGGATTTATTGCAACAGAACGGAGAGGGAAACCTATTGGAACAGATCAATAACGACGCCTCCAAAAGGGTCCTCAAACTCGAGTTAGAAAATCAAAGATTGCAATCATTAGTTGAAAACATCAAAAACAACCAAAAATGTAATTATAATTATGGTTTCATTTTTTATTAGCTATTATCCTATTATTATTAATAATGATTTTATTGATTTTTATTTATAGCTGATTGTGAAAATCACTTGAAAAGCGGTTCATCTTCTCTGACACCATCCGAAATGTCTGACAATTCAATTGAGGGCAAAGTGGAGGAGAGGTTAAGCCCTGAGCCAGAAGTGCAACAAATGAATGGTAAACTCGAAAGTTTAGAATTGAACCATTCGTGCGATTGTAAGCAACTGAACGTTAAGATTACTCAACTGGAGGAAGAAAACAAAGAACTCGATGAAGAACACAAACGATTGCAAACTGAGCACAAAATGTTGCAAAATATTTATAAGAAGTTGAGGACAGAAAATAACGATTTGAAACTGAGACACACGTCGCTTCAGGGAGAAACAGCCGAGTGTAGGGATAGGATGGCTCTATTGGACGTGGAGGTGTCCAAACTGGCCAACTATTGCGAAATGGTTGCGCTCACAAACAACTCAATTGAGTGCCACCGCAAGAGACTAATCAACAATATCTCAAACCTATTGACTCAATACCATGACTTGTTGACCGAAATTGGCGGCGACTCTGAAAAGATAATCTCCGATAAAATGCATGACTTGAGCGCTAAAAAGGAGAAGTTGGATAAAATGATCAAAGAATACGATTTGACGCTCGAGAAGAAGAAAGTAGTGGTTAATAATCATAATGTTGTCCGTCGTATCCACAGGTCATCAACTGATCTCTGTTTGTCTAATAATCAAAACACGACTCCAAAGGAGCGCTCAAAAGAGCGTAATTCTGCGCCAATCGATAATATGGTCGATGAGGCCATATATGGGCGCATATGGGAAGCCGAGACCCCACCGATCACTTCCAGTACTTCAGCTTTACGTCCGTCCCGTACTAATAATACTTTGACGCAAACGATGGATCAAAACAATGGAAAAACATGTGATCCTCTAAATCAGGTCTGAATTGATAATTTTGTTCTGTTTTATGATTTATTAGTTTTTATAATTGAATGCCTTTCAAGTTATATGTTATATGAAGTATAAATTATTAGATTGTAATTAGAGTTTTTAAAATTGAATGCTAATTAAAGCATATCTTTATTGTTATCAATAATTTAGATCAAAGAAGAGATAACAGTAACAAATAGCGAAAACAGTGTGATATGTCCGGTGCCGCCTCCTCGGCCTCCGCCGCGGGTGTCGACTACTATAGAGAATAAGATTCATTTAAGTGTAATAACTAGTCCTCCGCGGTCTCAATCCAATACGACTACAGGTTGTGAGGCATTGAATATGAGTGGAAGACATTCATATAACAACTTCACTCGAGGAACCTTTAAGAGCAATAGCATTAACTATGGCAGTCCTGTACGCAGACAACACATGCCATATAAGAATGGCAATCATCACCCCCACCACTTCCATCACCTGCACCCCCACTCGGCGTCGCCCTCACTCCTCTCCGACTCGTCTCTAACGCCTTTGGAGGACTCGGAGCTCAGCGACGGAGCCATTAATAATCAACGATCTCGTCATTTGAATAATTGCGATAACGTTACTGTCAATAGCAATACAACCAATTCTGTTTGGTATGAATATGGATGTGTCTGACATGAAATACCCGTCCATTTTGCCGACTCAGCCCAACCCACTCACCACCACATACTGTAAATCATTTCATACTGTCATCACACGACTAACTATTTAATGGTAATCTTATGTATAAATAGATGATAATATAAATTTAGTTTAATATAAGGAAAACGAATTTTTGATATCGAAAAATATCTTTTGATACGAAATGTACTTAATATGCAAAACATGGCCATTCATTAATTGACTGAATATTTAAGATTTTAATAATATATTGAATTGTGATTCAATTGAATGCCAGACTCTCTGTTGTGATTTCCTATCAAATATAAAGTCGAGTAATAAATGAAATAAATATTTATTTATCTTACAATTCATTTGTCGAAATCACTGCCAAAAATATTTGTGAGATATTTTTGAATAAATGAGTGAAACAGTAATGAATTAAAAATGGATTTTTATTTTAAAATATTAATCTTGAATGAGTCGATAATACATAGAATATGCTTTAATTAGAACTTTATAATTATAACAATAATACTCTTAAGACAATAACTTATCTCAGCGTATAATAGCTTACAATATATGATCGATAACTTGATATCAATATTGAATTGCAATTTCAAATGAGATAAATGATGCAAAAACATCACTTTTTCAGTATTTAAACGTGACTTAAAATAATATTTTCAGTTGACAAGTTTTATGAATAGTATTAATAACTGCATGAATAGGATTATTGCACATAAGTTTTGATAGAAAAACAATTGAGAATTATCTGTGATTTTTTGACAAAACCTTAGCCTCTCTTTAAACTTCTCTTTCAAATCAGTTTCCAACCCATTAATGGCTATAATTGTAATTCAAATATAACTATATTTTAATTATTACAATAAAACGAGTGCCCGATCTATACTTTAAACATAAATCATATTAAATTTAATATTAATTCAAATCGTTATTAGTATATAATGTATATAATAATTATATTTAAATTATAATATAAGTTTGTTTAATAAAAAATTATAACATAATATTATTATTATCTCAACAATTATTTAATAAAATTATGTTTTCTTTAGTAAAAATTGAATAAAATCTGAGTATTGAGTAACATATCAATTAATATGAGATACGGAAGGTTTCCAGAGATATTGATGTCATTTTGTTAACTTTATATTGTACTGACTTTGCAATAGATTAAGAAAAATTAAATATATTTCTAATTTATGTTTATATTGAGAGTAATGAAGAAACGGAGAATTGAATGATTTGAGAGAGAAATGAAAATATAAAACTTCTAAATGTATAACTGTTATGCAATTCATAAACTGTTAATTAGTTAATAATCAAAACAAGCGATCGTTTGATGATATATTGTTAGTTTGTAAGCAATCGATGGATTAGATGGCAATCAGGCTTTTGATGGAAAGGAGTTGATTACCTACTGTTGTCAAGTGGTGGACGTGTGACCAACCCTTGATCTACAGCCACTGTTTTGGACCCAATAATAATATTGAAGATTAGATTGAGATTGAGGTGAACAGGGATTTGCAAAATAGCTGATCAGTAAAACCGATTGTGCGGGTTCTCAATGCATTTCATTTGAAACACATTTCAGTGCAAATCCATTCAGTAATTCAATCGCAAAGAGCTGTCCATCGGATCGGTTGGACGCCGACTCACGATTCGAGGAGTACGTGCCACCGACACACCTGCTCTCCCTTACTGTGTAGGCATATGTCATATACCGTAAAATGATTCATACAAATATTATCAAATTGATAACCACTTCACTTCGGACTCACTGACCTGTCCCTCATGTCGTTCCAATGGGTCATCTCTTCATCGCCAGAGCTGTTGAATCCCAATGAGAACCATCCGATCATCTCTTTTCTATTCATACTTCTCTTGTTATACACTGATATCATAAGAGTCACGTCCGGCAACTGAAACAATGCTATCTGTAATACAAATCCAATAATCAATATAAACATTAATTTATTGATTTATTATATTACATAATAATAAATCATTTTATGCAAAAACCAATAAATAGTGGATTAAGCGAAATAAAAATTACAAAATTGATATTAATCTATAAATACACCCTAAATAGCCCGGAGCTAAACATTTTTTGTGTGTATTATCTAGATTTAGATCTCCACACGAAAAAACTACTTTATTTCAAACTGACCTGAAATATGAAGGTCTCCTTAAAAAGTGGATTCGGTTGACCTCTTCGTACACTAGTCTTACTTCTGGCGATTTCCTGACCACTTGACGAAACGAGTGACAGTTTGACGTAAGTGTCGGGAGCCCTGGCCATTGTTATCGTTCTGAATTGACTTCCTATTCATCAACCATTGAAATCACGTTTACAACGATTGATAATTTGGTCAATCACTGTATAATTACCTTTAATAACAGAGACATTAAGTCTACCCGTTGTCCCATTATATGCCAGTCCCAAAAGCATTTCTGGAAGGCTTGTACTTTGCATGGATTGCGCTGAACCGGTGCTATCACTTCGGGCCAGACTTGACACTTCTGAACGAGAATCTGACTGTTGTTCAAAGCAAAGCATTTAATGCATGAGAATTGCTCTCATATTTTAATTACTAATTATTTTGGTTATCAAATAAAAGATGTGAAGAGTTTAGATAATGGCTATAATTAAAATAAATATGATTAATCATCTTTATCTAGTAATCTGATTATTAAATTGTTGACTTCAAAGATAAACATTCAATTAATAAGATTTTCAGCATTTTAAAGTCTAAATTATAAGCTTTCACACCATTTAGCACAGTATAGTAAGTATGAGTACGTACGGCAAGACTGGATCGGGGCTCTAGTGTTAGCCAAAGTCGCGTCTCTTGCTGTTGAGGCTTAGAAGACGCGAATATTATAATACTTTCTCCTGAATAATCAGTTATAATTAGTACATTGGTCAATTTTGAATGAAATACATTTGTCTCTACACACCAATCAATTGTTCCCTTCGAGCGAAAGCAGTTCCATAGACCCTAAACCTAATTCCTAAACCCATAACTTCTTCGGGATTAATACGAGTGAAAGTAAATGTTTCGTTAAAAATGGGATTTCCTGTCGATTTAATTTTAGTCTTATGTTTGTGTCTCTTCTGTGGCAGCAGAACGAGTCTGACGTGTATTTGATTGGCTCCCCCGCGCTCTTTGCAGGGGATGTGATTGGCCTCAAACACAGTGACCATCAGCTTCTTGGTGGGCGCGTCGTAAGCATAGCTCACTTCCAAAGATCCGCATTTCGTCATTGAATGTGACTCTGATTGTGAGAAGTGTTGGGAAAAGTCCTGTGATGTCGATGACTGAGCGTCTGATTCGCATTTTTCGAAGGCTGTATTGAATTGTGATTTCATGTGATCCCGATATTTGATTGGACTCGAGGTATCGGATTTGTTTGATTTGTTCAGTGCTTTGTCTCGAGCGTATGAATTTCTAGACCGTCGCAACTCGTCCTCATTATCACCACTTCCCGCTTCACTCGATGCCGACCCCTCACTCGACCCGTTCTTCCCAATCCTACCCTTCTCTGCCAATGATATTAAATCTCTGGAAGTGCTGCCAGTACTGCATCTCTTATCAGATCTCGACGATTCAGTCTTGTATTCTCTCGGAATCAATGGTTTGTTTTGATAGTCAGCTCTTTGTGTCTCGTCTATGGTTTCAATGATTTTGTGTCTGTTTTTCAGATTATGTTTCGATCTATTGTTTGGGATTTCCTTTTTTGAGAGACTCGACTGCCGAGCGATACTCATTTGATTACTGGCCGATCGTTTCAGTCTCTGCAGTAACTCGTCTTCACTATCAGTGGAGGAGTCGAGTTCATCGTCGTATGAAAACGCGTCAACTGTTCAGACAATCAATTCATTGTTTATTTCATCCCATGTTTTATGAAAATTATGTTTTTATTTATACCCAAATCTTTGGAGGCTTTATCCTTTGATATATTAAGTGGTTTATCACAACAGGGAAAGCCTCCGATCGTATTAAAGCAGAACTTCTTCGTTAAATATAAATAAAATATAAACAAACAGGTCATACAAATCGCTACCATCCCTAAGAAAGCACTCGCTTCGGTCGGAACTGAAAATTAAGACATTTTTGTAATAAAATTTCACAATTTTCATTGGCTTTAAATGGTTTGATAAGGTTGTAAAGAATGTGTTTTATTTTGTGGCAATTATGTACATTTATATTCATGTTAGGTTTAATTAGAAGTTAGAAATTTATAGATAGCAATAATCGGATTATTGACTAATTAGTTGTTTATAGAGTTATATTTAAAATGACAAATGAACAATTTTATTATCTCTTTATATGCAATTTACACATATTTATTGAATTTATTTTATTTTATATCTAATTGCATTCATTCGTGCATTTAATCAAACAAATTGCAAATAAGTTAAAACAAAATACATTTAATTAACAAAATCATTAGCTATTATATTTAATTGTTTATGTGCAAATCATATAATTTGATAGACAACCAAATAAAATGTATTTGCATTTAAGACACATATTCTAATAGAGTTTAAATTATTATAAACTCTAATAAATGACAAATTGATTATAAAAGTAATTATATGTTTGAAGTAATGGACTATTTATGAGTGATTAATGCGTATAATATGTGACAACAGACTTGACAATACCTGAGAGCATAGTTGCCAATAATGTGTATAAAAATTACTGATAATATATCTATTTAGTTGATTACAAGTGAATATAAACTGAATTTAGTAAATGGCATCACATTATAGACTAATAGATTGAGTTCTTGCAGCCGAAAGCAGGCTTTGTTGCAACACTACTGTCTAACCCAATGTTGTGAATGTATTGATGGAGTGGTGTCTACAGCATCACCATTTGCAACACATAACACATCCATAAGCCTTATCTCAACAAATGAATGCCAAATGCATTACATTTTATCCATTGTATAGCGCATTGCATCCACTTTTATCATACACTCCAAAGACTAGTGTTTCTCAATATTATTTCTATATATTGTAAATGTTTAATACAAGCAGTACTGGTAATGAACGAATACCAGGCAACCATCGATTTGTGCTCTCTCTCTCTCTCTCTCTCTCTCTCTCTCGCTGTATTTAAGGCATTCACAGAGAATTGTTGTAGAAATTGGATAAAATTATAACTTATAAATATAAGAAATATATGCAAAGTACAATATAAATAATTGACTGCTTTTTCTTTAATTATTAAACACAACAAATAAGACATTTAAAAAATCAAAGTTTATTTCCAATAACTCTTACTAATGTAAGGCATTTATATTTATTTGGAAATGTTTTATACAATATATTAAAACATAAAACCATTCATTTTATATTTTAATCAAATATTTGTGTCTCACTTTTTACAATATTTTATTTTTCATTGACATATGATTTAAAATATGTTGTAATTTGTATTCTTATGATATTTTTATATGAAATATTCAGTAAATTTTTGGATAACACACGAACATCTCAATATTAACTGTATAAGTAATAGAATGTTTTTAAACATACTATTATAAGTTAATATAAGCGCTATACGTTTATGTAAATTGCATATATTCTACTGTAGTATAATTTTAGTGCAAATTACACGTAAATTACAGCAATTGAGTTCATGAAAATTACATAAAATTATTTAGTGTCTGTATAAAAAAAATGTAGGAAAACACTTTCGGTTTTATGCAAAATAATTGTCAAAAATAATAAACATCAGAATAGGTTGGATTTAATGTACAGTAATTCAGTGTTAAAGAAAAATTTCTAATTATTTATGAAAATATTTAAATCAACCAAATTTTTTTTCCAGTTGAGATGTTTTAATTAATAAACTTATGATTTCAATTAATTATTATAGTATAACACTGAATGTAACATATTAAAGTTTATATAGTGATCAGCAAATTTAAAAATAAATAACATATACAATATAAATTATGACCATAAAATTAATTAATTATTTTATAATATGAAAACATTTTAATAAGTTTAGTAATATGTTCGTATAAAATACTAAATGAAATTGTTTAAAATAATATTTTCACAATACTGTATAACTTTGTATAGTTCAGAAAGGCAAGTTATAATATACCGTATAAGTCAAGTTATATAATGAGTACACTTATATAATGGTAAAAGTAATTATTATTATTATTAATTGTATTGATATAAACAAAGACATTATATAACTACTATTTACTGTATATTAAAAACATAATCCAATTAATTATTTTAGTTTTTTAATTTTGTAAATAATTTATATTATTTTCTAAACTCTTATTCTTATATTTATTAGTTGATTATATCAAAAGGATCTTATTTATCATGATAAATGTTTTACTTTTGATACTTATTTAATAACTACCGCTTAATTAAACAATTGTGTACCTTAACAATTGATTTTATCTAAAATATAATTGATTTACTTATTGGAAAAATAAAAATAAGTGCAAAAAGAATTTATAAGGGTATAATAATTTTAAAAAGTTTAAAAATGAATTTTAATGAAATATTATAACAAAGTTAAAAATACTTTTTTTAAAGTTTAATAAACTTAATATATTTAAATTACAGTTAATTTTTAAAAAATAAATTAGCTAAATTAATAACAACAAAATTAATACTGTTTTAATACTGCCCACAATGCATGTATGTACTACATACTATGTAGGTGTGAAAAGTCTTTAAATGACCCGTACTGTACTATACTGTACTGTACTCTATAAGTGTAATGTAAATTAGATGGTTGATCACCAGAACATACATTGCAGTAGGGTGGGTTTTAAGGGGCTCAAACGCAAATCACGAATACATCTTATAAAACAAATGCATCTTGATAAGATTAGACGTAATCATATGGATAATGAGTGATAATGTTTAGTGAATTGTGATAATCTGTTGATACATCTAATGGTAACGAATGGAGTGAATTCATGAAGAGTGGCACCGAGTGATGGCATTAGTTTCAAGAGTGCGAGCATTTGAGTGGAAATTTGTGCCCAAATTAGTTGAGTGTTTGCTTTCCTTTAAAGGAGTCGACATTATTAGCATTGAATGAATACAACACTACATACACTGTATATGAATAACACTGCACGCCTATACAGTAGTGTCAGTACATTATCGCCCACACAGTCAACACATCCCAAGAGATGACAGCCTGTGAAGTGTTAGCCAGTGAGTGGTGACCCCATTATCCCATTCGCCAAACTTGTCGCACAAACGCACCATTTGTTGTCCTCTTAAGACTTTCTTACCATTTGGTTGATGTGTTGATACCGCGAGACCACAGTTGTAAGCATGATATCAGACGGCTATCTGGTTGGTGATGGTTCGTGGCAGCTCAAGATATTTGTCACGGACCTCAAGGTGGACCGCACTCTCCGAGTGAAGGGTGATCTGCACGTCGGCGGAGTTATGTTGAAACTCGTCGAAGAACTCGGTATTCAATGCCTCATGTCTTTGATTTGTGTCATTATCTAACCGATTGTGTGACAGATGTGGCCATCGATTGGTCGGATCACGCGTTGTGGTGGCCCTCGAAGAACATGTGGTTGAGTCGGACGCGGACTACTCTGGATCAGTACGGAGTACAGGCGGACGCCGTCCTATACTTCACGCCAATGCATAAGACATTACGCGTCCAAATGCCTGACTTGAGATATATCGACGCGAGGGTTGACTTCTCTGTCAAGACATTCACAGCTGTCGTCCAATTGTGCAAAGATTTGGGAATAAGACATCCGGAAGAGCTCTCATTTGCCAGACCTCTAGTGAACGCACATCTCAAGCGAAACTTTCCTCATCTGAGTGTCAGTCCATTGCAGAGACAGAGGGACACAATGGGACCCATTGTCCCGAATAATGCGAGTCCCGCGCCGGCCATTGGCACACCTGATGGGAAGTCGAGTCCCACTTTCATTGATGATCACAAGACAACTCCCGTACGAAACGGAAATGGAGTCGTGACTAATGGCAACGGAACTCTTCACACCCCTTATGTCAGTGACACGAGTTATGCCTACAATAATGAAATGATTTCGCCATCACTGGCCACCAGTCCGGTCACGCCTACGCTTGAGGCGAAGAACACTCTGTTGAGACCCAAGTCGTTGGTGGAGAGGGCGCGCCTGAACGCCGGTTGGCTCGACTCCTCGCTCTCTCTCTACGAACAGGACGTCCGAGAGTTTGATTTATTGCTTCTCAAGTATAAGTTCTTTTCGTTTTACGACATCAACCCTAAGGTCGACGGCACGAGAATCAACCAAATCTACGCTCAGGCGCGATGGGCTGTCCTCTCGGAGGAGATCGACTGCACCGAAGAGGAGATGATGCTCTTCGCCGCACTCCAGCTCCAGGTCTCCATTCAGACCAATAATCCATTTCCCGAGAAACACAACTCCCGTAATGACGATGACATCGACGCCGCTTTAGATGACCTCCAGATATCATTAGAAGGCGCGCCGACAGCCATACCAATCGGCGGTGACATAACTCATGTCCCAGAACTGGCAGATTATCTCCGATTTATGAAACCCAAGAGGTTTACTCTGAAAAGTTTTAAGAGAGTATACTTCGTGTTCAGAGACACCAGACTTTCGGCTTATAAGTCGAGTGAAGACCGGAGTAGTAATGACGCGGCGTTTGTCATCAATATGAAGGGCTGTGAGGTTACACCCGATGTGAACCTGAGTCAAGGCAAGTATGGCATCAAATTAGAAGTTCCCAATCACGAGGGCATGCAAGAGTATTGGATTAGATGCGAGTCCGAGCACCAGTACGCCAGATGGATGGCCGCCGCACGACTGGCCACCAAAGGCAGAACAATGGCTGACTCCTCCTATGACAGTGAAGTCAAATCAATTATGAACTTCTTGAGTCTTCAACACCCGACCCACTCCTCATACACCGCACCCGTCAGTTCCCATCAAATTGATAACCCGGACGACTATATCGCTCCGAGATTTTTAAGGAAAAAGGGCGGCCGACAGGTATGCCTGAGATTATTGCTCTTTAATTATCCTGATTATTATTAATACGAAATGTTAATGTCATGGACAGTGGGCTCAACGTATTTTGGACGCGCACTCCAATGTCAAGGGTCTGTCCCTAACAGAAGCCAAACTCCATTTCATCAAAGCCTGGCAGGCGTTACCCGACTACGGAATCTCTCTATTTGTCGTCAAGTTTTCCACTTCTAAACGAGAAGTATTTAATGATTAATTCATTTAACATTTGATATGTTTTTCATTGAAATGTGATAACAATATGAGCGATAATAAGTTGCAATTGAATCTCATATTACTTGAAACGCTCATATATTTGCGGACAATTTCTAAAACATTGAATGAATGCCAGGAATTGCTTGGAGTGGCGTTCAATCGACTGATGCGAATGGACGTCAACACCGGCGACCACAACAAGACGTGGCGATACAATACGATGAAGGCGTGGAACGTGAACTGGGAGGTGAAGCAAATGCTCGTCCAGTTCGAGGAGGAAGACGTGGCCTTTTCCTGTCTGAGCGCCGACTGTAAAATAGTACACGAATTCATCGGCGGTTATATATTCCTATCGATGCGATCCAAGGATCAAAACCAGACATTAAATGAGGAACTGTTTCATAAACTAACGGGCGGTTGGATTTAGAGCTTGGATTACTTCTAATCCATTTTAAGTATAACTCGATTAACATTAGTTACGGTTTAAATTTATAACAAATGTTTTGACCACTCGAATGCCGTTTTGAGTTTGAGGTTAACTTAAAGCCAATCATGAGGTTTAATTAACTTTGTTTTAATTTATAGTTAATCTCATAATTATTTTAAGTTTTCATTTAATTTACAAAAACATCATATTTTGTAAATGAAATTCGATGAGCGATTGATTGGAGAATTGTTGCCAATGTTTGGTACAAATAAATGTCAAATATAATTAACAGTCAAACATGTTTGCAATTAAATTAACTTATTCACGAAATCTTTACAAACAATGCAATACTCAATAAAAAGTTATATTAATAGTTATGATAATGTATAGGAAGCTATAGATACCACCACTGATTACATTACATTGTAATGATTACAATGATTTGTTTTGACCTTCAATTGTCAAACATTGGTTACATTCTTAACATTAGGGTTTCAGAAATGTTTTTCTTTGAAGTCATTATAAAAGTCAAAAGCAATGTTTTCAATGAAAGTCTCGAATATTCATACAGAAAGTGCTTAGAATTGAATTGAATTTACTTTAGATTTGATAACTATTTTGTTTTATGAATAATTGATAGAAAGTGTGGGACAGTGAACCCAATTCAGTATATGACATACGAATACAAAGTTATAACAAGTCTTTTATATGAAAATAACTAAATCTATTAACTCGACAGTCATTTAAACAGTTATCCATTTATTCAAAGTTATCCGTAATTAAACTCTAGACAACGACTCTTCACTTATTAAACTGTGCCTTAAATATGTTTATTATAACGATTACTATTATATAATGTTTAAAACTAAATAATATAATATTTAAATTTTTTGTGAATTATATTCATATAAATATTATTAATAAAAAGCGAACAACAAATAAATTTAAAACTAAAATACGTTTATAGACTTATTTAATGGGTTTATTCACTTCTCATATAACATATACCTGTCGTCTGACTCGTGAGACAAAAATCGATCCCAAAGTCAAAGTATGACTGAAATAACAATCAACTGATCATATTTGAGGGATTGCCTGACTATCATATATTACACAAGCACTCAATTATATACTTTTCAATGGCTATTAACAATAGGAAGACCACTAATGCCAATGACATAATGGTTCCGCATAAATAAATCAATAACTTTTACTTGATACCTAAAATATACATTTAGTTTCAATGTCTATACATTTTGTATTGAGTTTTTTGCTTTTAGTAAAAATATTACATTTTTGCAATTTATTATTTTTAGGGATCTTTATTCTGTATAGAATTTTTTAGAGTTTAGATTCACCATTGAGTTGGAAATATAATTAATTCTACTAATTATTTAATATATCTAGGTCAATACATGTGTTTAACGCAATTATTAAATATTAATTACAAATATTTATAAAAATAAAATTGATTATAATCTATGAATTTGTTGTTATCAAGAATTATTAGGAAAATAAATTTATCATTACAGTTATGCATAAATCAAAAAGCATAATAGACCAACTTTACAGAGAACTTTACTTTCACTTTACTTTTCTGTAAGCAAGGTAAAACTCATTAGGCAGCGTGCACAAAGTACATACGCACTGGTAGGGGGAGGGGGTCATGCCAAAGCGTATGTCACCATGTTAAATTCCTATGTACTTTGTGCCGCATCAGTGATTCTTATCAATTCTTATTGTGTCTTCAGTTACCAAAAAAACTTCTGTTATTTGTTAAGAAATACTAATTAGTAATTACTAATAGTCTGTTATTATAATAATAGTTTAGCAAAGAAAAGTGTTTAATTTATTGAAGTAGTCTATGTAGTACATAGTATGTACATTTGTAGAAATTTTAGTTGTCAAAAAATACGATACAATTTTGGTGATTGGTTGTTAACTTTGATTTCGATATTGTGGTGATTGTCCAATTGTTTGTTTATAAGTTAAGTCACGAGTAAAAAGTAGAAACCCCATATTTCTTATATTACATAATTCATACGAAAAACAAATATCATTTGCATACATTAGTTTTATACAAAGTAATTTCACACACAAAAATCGATGTCATCAATAAATATAACATTAAAATGCACAATTAACGTTAATGGCACATCAAAATTTGACAACAATTAACAAGTTTAAGATATTATTAATAACTTTGACCTCTATATAGGCTAAACCGTATTAAATTTTATATTGTCATTGAATAATATACAGAATTTGCTTGGATTCCTTGATTAAAAATTCTTTTAAAGTTGCGGGAAACTAAATACTATTTGTTGAAAACAGAAAAAAATAAATTATTGAATATTTGACAAACTTTTTAAATTGTTCTTTATGCTTTTTATAACTTTCCACTGTTACAGTTAAAAAGTAGTAAATAAAGGTTGAAATACACGATATGATTAGCTCTACACAAAACTATTTACTTTGTAATTTATAATACACTGTATAACTACCGTACATTACTACAGTATTAACCATACAGTATAGTAAATAACCAGTTCTAAGAAAGGATTATACCTTTCATATTATTTAACGTGTTTACATTTTAGTATTAATAATCATTAGTTATATACCGTACAGTATTAATAGATTATTCTTATTACAGTTACATGAAAATTAATACATGTTAGCAGTATTTACGATTTGCATTCAATTTAAATAAATACAATAAAAGGAAATTGTTTTAACACAACTTCAAAGGCATTACAATACAAATAAACTCCAATTTAATTGTTTGGAGCACTCGTTGATTGAGTAGATGTGTATTCATATGAATTGTAAGCACAAGTATTTGATGATCTCATGCTTACAGTACTTGTTAGTTATCTGTGGGCCACCACTCACTCAATATCGCAATCGTTTTATTTTTAATTTATTTCACATTATTGTTAGGAATATTTCCTAATAATTATAGGTACAGTAGTTCATATATCTTATGTCTACAACTAAAATATAAAGCGTTTTACTACTAGTGAATGAATGCAACAAACATAGCGTAGATCAAGAATTTGACAATATTTGTAAAAGTGATCTTATCAAATAGTTGTATAACATATTACTGAACATAAAATATTTAAAAGTATTTTACACACTTATACTGAACATTATCATACATTAACGGTACCTCGTTAGTGATTACTATACTAATCTTTAAATGTAAATAGTTTATTAATTAACAAAAAATATTTAACAAATATATTATTTTTAAAGTAGGAGTTTGTAGATTACATTAGTATGTGTGTTTGAGTGCATTGTATAAATTAAAAAGCAATAAATTAGAATTTATTTATAACTACTTCATATCCAACTTGACATTAAGCTAATGCAATGTACAGTATTGTGGTATTCAGTGAATATAGCATTCAATGATAAGCGCTTCTCTCGACAAATTGCAATATTATTATGATTGCAAAGTTTGAATCAATTATACGCTATCTTATAAATATTCTCTATACTGTAATATGTTTAATGTAAGCCACAAAACTATTCAGTTATTTTTCAATATATTCATAATAGTATAAACATAATTGAATAAAACTTTATTATGAATGAATATAATGAATATAATTGTGACCCACAGGTGACCAATACTTTGCAAACTATTTGAATGCATAACTTAGTGAATGCGCTTAAAGTTGATGGATATAACTTTTCAATATTTCACCAGACACATTTCTATATTCAATCTGTCAGTAATTGCATTACTTGTTAATTGAACTAACTTTCAAACATATAAATATTTGATTAAATACTTTTCTAATGAATATATATTGATTGTAAATGTTTATTTATATAAATAAGTTTAAAGTGAAATATGAGGTCTGAATAGCAATGTGCTTGATCAATTGTTGCATTGGTTTGTGTGAAAGTTAATTTAGTGAAAGTGAGGCAAAGTAATGACACTTTCAAATGTGTTAAATGTATGAATGAATGCATTGTTTGTATCAATGATTGGGATGAAGACAATCTGTTAATTGTATTGACAAGTGATTAGACAATATGATAGAGTATAGTGACTATCATATAGTGTAAGATATAGTGAAGGGACAGATAGTGTTGGATGTGTTACAGCGCTAACTGTACGGACTGTACGGTATGAGTGGGAACCACACCCATCGCCCATCCATGCAATGAGTGTATTGTATGCGCAATACACTGCTGTCGAGAGCTATGTGTTCATCGGCTTTTGTTGCGCCCATCACTGTATCCACGAATGCGTCAATGAGTGAGTGTTTCAGTGTATTGTAGGCAATGGTGTTGTGCTGTGCTATTCGTTAGCCAAGTGTTGGCTTTAATAACATTTAAATCCATCGCTTAATGACTCACGAATTCATTCAATTGTATTTTGCATCCAATCTATAGTCTGTTCAATGGTTTTCACACAACACACCATTCATACGATTACTACTACTCACTAATCCAAAGGTTTGTCAATTCATTCACTACTACTATCACCACGAAACTGATCCAACCGTGTGTTCACTGCACACACTATTAGACACTTATAATTAGCATTAATTCAATGCAATCGTCAACCGATGCATGGCTTTCACTCTCGGCTCACACTCTCAGCCATACTAATAGTGACCACTCGTTAGGCATTGCATTCACTGTCCATTGAATTACTTCTACTATTAATACTAATAGTCAATGAGTTAACTGTGATTTACAAGTGACTGTTGCTTACATAACATACACTTGTCTCATATCGGGTGTGGTTTCAAATACTACCAGTGCTCTCAACCCTCACCACTAATTATATTGAAACTGTATTTTAAATAAACTCAATTCACTGTCATGTAAATGAAAATCAATTTAATTTAGTCACTATTTATACCGCTATTTGTTATATTTTGTTTGCATTCAATGCCTCAAATGACGGGTAGTTTATGTGCAAAATAGTAACTGTTTTATTGATATTAATTCAGTTGTGAATAACTAATACCAATGATAATGAAGGGCTGATCTCATAAATCACTTCCCGGTTTACCACTCTTTTGCATTCATTTATCATAAACTCTGATTATATTATAGTTATAGTAAATGTAATATATTTGTGTGTTTATCAAATATACTAAAATATAGTCAAAAATAGTTACAATCAATAGTTGCTAATTGAAAGCATTTGATCAGTTATTTTGAGAAATTAATCATTAGTTTAGTGTTTGGGATGTGTTTGGAGTCAAGGACTCAATGATAGTATAGTTTGTGTCATATTTATAGCAGAAATGGTTTGAATTGATGTCTGAATGCGCCAAAAGTGTCAAACGATATATGATTTGATAATAGATTATATAATATGTATTGAATGTATTGATTACAGCATCGGCTGGTGTTAGAGATGACGACTGATATCGGAGTGTCGGTGCGATGGGATCCGGTCACCCAACAGGAGATTGAGGACTACGACTATGACGGAGGCAACAGCTCCTCCCGACTCTTCGAGAGGTCCCGTATTAAGGCATTGGCAGGTAATACACGAGTTATTGAGTAGATGTGATTGAATCGGTGGTTAATCGTGTGATTGAATGGACAGATGAGAGAGAGTCGGTCCAGAAGAAGACTTTCTGCAAGTGGGTTAACTCGCATCTGGTTCGCGCCAACAGTCGCATCACTGACTTATACACAGATCTGAGAGATGGCAAGAATTTAATCAAATTATTGGAAATCCTTTCGGGAGAGAGACTCCAGAAGCCGACCAAAGGAAAGATGAGAATCCATTGTCTGGAGAATGTGGACAAAGCGCTGCAGTTTCTGTTACGGGAACAGAGGGTCCATCTCGAGAATCTGGGCTCTCATGACATCGTCGACGGCAACCCTCGCCTTACTCTGGGCCTCATTTGGACCATTATATTGCGCTTTCAAATACAAGATATCACTATTGAAGAGGTGGACAATCAGGAGACCAAATCGGCAAAGGATGCGCTGTTGCTATGGTGTCAGATGAAGACTGCCGGCTATAACAGTGTGAACGTCCGGAACTTCACTTCCAGTTGGAAAGACGGTCTGGCTTTCAATGCACTCATTCATAAACACAGACCAGATTTGATACAATACGACAAACTCTCGAAATCAAATGCAATCCATAACCTCAACAATGCCTTCAATGTCGCAGAAGAAAAGTTAGGTTTGGCTACACTTTTAGACGCTGAAGATGTGTTCACCGATAATCCGGATGAGAAGTCTATCATCACTTATGTCGTCACTTATTATCATTACTTCTCGAAGATGAAGGCCGAGACGGTTCAGGGCAGGAGAATAGGCAAAGTTGTGGGACAGGCGATGGACAACGAGAAGATGATGCAGGAGTACGAGAGCCTCACTTCAGAGCTCCTGAAATGGATTGAAATGATTATTGAAGACCTCTCTGACAGAAATTTTTCCAATTCTTTGAATGGAGTTCAGCAACAATTGTCTGCATTTAGTAATTACCGAACCATTGAAAAGCCGCCGAAATTCATTGAAAAAGGAAATTTGGAAATCCTTTTGTTCACTCTTCAGAGCAAAATGCGAGCAAACAATCAGAAGCCATATCTGCCAAAAGAAGGTAAAATGATATCTGATATAAACAAAGCGTGGGAACGACTCGAAAAGGCTGAACACGAGCGCGAGTTAGCCCTCAGAGAAGAGCTCATACGCCAAGAGAAGTTGGAACAGTTGGCCGCCCGGTTCGATCGTAAGGCAGGAATGAGGGAGACCTGGCTCAGTGAGAATCAACGACTCGTCTCTCAAGACAACTTTGGCTTTGATTTGCCAGCAGTGGAGGCGGCGGCTAAGAAACACGAGGCCATTGAGACTGATATATTCGCTTATGAAGAGCGAGTCCAAGCCGTTGTTGCAGTGGCTCTCGAGTTAGAGGCAGAGAATTACCACGACATCGACCGCATTAATTCCCGTAAAGATAATGTCCTAAGACTTTGGAATTATTTGTTGGAATTGTTGCGAAACAGAAGAACCCGTTTGGAAATGTCGATGGCTTTGCAGCAGTCCTTCCAGGAAATGGTTTATATATTGGACTCAACGGACGAAATAAAAGCTCGTCTGCTCTCCGATGACTTTGGAAAGCATTTAATGGGTGTCGAAGATCTGCTTCAAAAGCACAGTCTGGTTGAAGCAGACATCAATGTTTTGGGCGAAAGAGTTAAGACAGTCGTCCATAATCTGCAGCACTTTATTAGTGAAGAATCTGCGAGTGGTTACCGACCCTGCGATCCAGAGATAGTCGACGAGCGCATTAAGCAATTAGAGGCGGCGTATTCAGAACTGGTCCAACTGGCCATTGATAGGAGAGGTCGACTGGAAGAGTCGAGAAAGTTGTGGCAATTCTATTGGGATATGTCTGAAGAGGAGGCTTGGATTAAGGAGAAGGAGCAGATCCTGTCCTCTGCAGAGATAGGACACGATCTGACAACTGTTCATTTGCTTATCAGTAAGAATAGAGCTCTTGAGGACGAGTTGGCGGCTCACGAACAACAACTCATGGCTGTCGTCCGAGTCGGTGATGATCTCATAAACGCCGGACATTTTGGCGCCGAAAACATTGAACAACGCATTCATGAAATTATGAGCGTTTGGGATAACCTTAAGGAACTCCAAGCGTTGAGGACTATGCGGTTAACCGAAGCCATCGATTTCCACCAATTCTTTGCTGATGCGGATGATGTGGACGCCTGGATGTTAGACACGTTGCGTTTGGTCTCCAGTGAAGATGTAGGCGTCGATGAGGCCAACGCACAGTCTTTGCTTAAGAAACACAATGAAAGCGCTGAGGAGTTGAAGAGCTACTCATCCGTTATCGACGCTCTCAAAGAACAGTCGCTCTCTTTAGGAGAAGCCGATAGACAGGACCCGGAGGTGTTGGACAGGATTGCGACGATTGAGCGCCGCTATAAAGAACTGCTCGAATTGACTAAACTCCGAAAGCAACGCCTTTTGGACGCCATTTCACTCTACAAACTGTTCAGTGAAGCGGATGGAGTCGAGCAATGGATTGCAGAGAAGGAGAAGATGTTGTCGTCGATGGTTATGAGCAGAGATATGGAGGACATCGAAGTCATGAAACATCGCTTCGAGACCTTCGATCAGGAAATGAATTCCAACGCCTCGAGAGTGGCTGTCGTTAACCAATTGGCGCGACAACTGCTGAACGTCGAGCACCCGAACTCCGAACAAATCCTCGCGCGTCAGAACCAACTCAACCAAAGGTTTGTTTGTTTTGTTTTATAAGTAAGACTTGTATTCATTTGATTCAAATTTGAACCAAAGATGGGCTGAATTGCGCGATAATTCCGAACAAAAACGGGAGGAAATCAATTCGGCTCATGGAGTCCAGACATTCCATATTGAATGTCGCGAAACAATCTCTTGGATCGAAGAGAAGACAAAACTTTTGCAGTCAACTGAAGAGTTGGGAAACGATTTGACGGGTATTATGACTTTGCAAAGAAGACTCAGTGGAATAGAAAGAGATTTGGCGGCCATTCAGGTCCAATTGGATCAGTTGGAGACCGAAGCAGATAAGATGAAAGCCGATCATCCGGAAGAAGCGCAGGCTATCACTGAAAGAGTGGGCCAAATATCACAGGTTTGGGAACAGTTGACACAATTACTGAAGGATAGGGACGCGAAACTTGAGGAGGCGGGAGATCTGCATCGTTTCCTCAGAGATTTGGATCACTTCCAGGCGTGGCTCACGAAGACTCAGACAGACGTGGCTTCTGAGGACACGCCCAACAGTTTAGCCGAAGCAGAGAAGCTATTGAGTCAACACCAGCAGATCCGCGAAGAGATCGACAACTATACCGAGGATTACAATTCAATGATGGAATACGGCCACAGAATAACTCACGACCAGACGGACCCGCAGTACATGTTTTTGCGCGAACGGCTGAAAGCCCTGAGCGACGGCTGGACTGAGTTGTATAAGATGTGGGAAAATAGACAGCAGTTGTTGTCGCAGAGTTTGAATCTTCAAATGTTTTTACGCGATTCAAAACAAGCAGAAGTATTACTCAATCAACAGGAGAACTATCTGTCGAAAGACGAGACGCCCACAAACCTGGAACAGGCGGAGAACCTCATCAAACGACACGAGGCTTTCTTGACCACAATGGAAGCCAACGACGATAAAATCAATGGTGTTATTCAGTTCGCGCACAGACTTAGCGAAGAACAACACTTCGATTCCGACAAAATTGTGAGAAAAGCTGAGAATATTAACGACAGAAGACAATCAAATAGAGAGAGGGCTCAGCAGATGACTGACAAACTCAGGGATGATCTCCAATTACATCAGTTCCTCCAGAATTGCGATGAACTTAACGAATGGATTCAAGAGAAGTATATCATAGCTCAGGACGAGACCTACCGAAGCGCTAAAACAGTTCACAGTAAATGGACGCGACATCAGGCCTTTGAGGCGGAGATTGCAGCCAATAAGGACCGACTCGTTGGTGTTCAACAGGAGGGCCAGAATCTGGTTCAAGTGAAGCCCTCAATGCGCTCCTTAGTTGAGCCTAAATTGGCTGAATTGCAGCAACAATTCGAAGCACTCGAGAGCACTACCAGTGAAAAGGGTCTTAAATTGTTTGACGCCAACCGACAAGTTCTCTACGAACAGACCTGTGATGACATCGACACTTGGATTACTGAATTGGAGAGCCAGGTGTTGACATCAGAGACCGGACAGGACTTGACAAGTGTTAAACTAATACTAGAGAAGCAACAAATGATTGAAACCCAAATGGCTGTCAAAGCGAAACAAGTGAATGAATTGGAGTCTCAGGTCGAGTACTTGGAGAAGATTGAACCCGAAAAGACCGATGAGATTAAGGCCAAGAAGGTGTACGTCGAGGAGCGCTTCCAACGACTACAGGCGCCACTACTCGAGCGAAAGCAACAGTTGCTTAAGAAGAAGGAGGCGTATCAGTTCAGACGAGACGTTGAGGACGAGAAGATGTGGATTCAGGAGAAGATGCCTTTGGCCACCAGCTCTGACTTCGCCAACAGTTTGTTTAGCGTTCAGATGCTTATCAAGAAGAACCAGTCGTTGAGGACGGAAATCGATAACCACGAGCCAAGGATTCTTAATATCTGTGAAAATGGACGCAAACTTATAGACGAAGGGCACGAAGACTCTTCGGAATTCCAGCGTCTGATCAATGAGTTGATGGAAATGTGGGAACAACTCAAAGACAAAATGAATAATAGAAAGCATAAACTCTTGGAATCGGAAAGAGCCCAACAGTACTACTTCGACGCCTCTGAAGCCGAGTCTTGGATGAGTGAACAGGAGTTATATATGATGGTCGACGACAGGGGTAAGGATGAGTTCAGCGCTCAGAACCTCATGAAAAAACACGAAACACTTGAAAATGCTGTCGAAGACTACGCGGAGACCATTAGGCAATTGAACGATACATCTAAACAACTCATCACTGAAGGACATCCGCAAAGGTTTGAAGAGTTTTTGTTAATAATACACTACTTCTTGTATTAACTATTGTTTTATGATTTAGTGAACCGATTGGTGTCCGGCAATCACAAGTTGACAAACTCTATGCGGGTCTTAAGGATCTGGCGTTAGAACGACGCGCCAAACTCGAAGAGGCGCTCAAGTTGTTCTCATTGAACAGAGAAGTCGATGACATAATGCAATGGATTGCAGAGCGCGAAGTGGTGGCCGGTTCTCACGAATTGGGTCAGGACTTCGATCAGGTGTCTGTTCTTAGGGAACGGTTTAAGGCATTCGCCAGAGACACAGAAGTGACCGGAAATGAAAGGGTTTCTGTTGTTAACGAGAACGCGGATCATCTGATCAATAGTGGACACGCAGACAGCGCCACAATTGCTGAATGGAAGGACACCCTTAACGAGGCGTGGGCTGACCTCTTGGAACTGATCGAAACCCGGACTCAAATGCTGTCCGCGTCCTGGGATTTGCATAAATACTTTCACGACTGTAAAGATGTCTTCGGACGCATCGTTGAGAAACAGAACTCAATGTCTGATGAGTTGGGTCGGGACGCCGTCTCTGTGTCGAGTCTACTCCGAAAACAGGCCAACTTTGAGCACGACTTACAAACCCTGGGAAATGCTGTTCAACAGATCCGCGAAGAGTCTGGAAAACTGCAAACGGCTTATGCGGGCGAACGGGCCCGAGATATAGTGAACAGAGAGGCCGAAGTGGTGAACGCGTGGCAGAGACTGCTCTCACTGTGCGACGGACGCAGAGTTAAACTCGAAGACACGGGCGATCTCTTCCGGTTCCTAAATATGGTCCGCGATTTGATTCTATGGATGGATGACGTCGTCAGACAAATGAACACTTCGGAGAAACCGCGGGATGTTTCTGGAGTTGAGCTCTTAATGAATAATCATCAGAGCCTTAAAGCGGAGATCGACGCCCGCGAAGACAACTTCTCCTCATGTGTTAGTTTAGGTAAAGAACTTCTGGCGCGAAGTCATTACGCATCGAATGAGATAAAGGAGAAGCTGTTGGCGCTGACCAATCAGAGGAATGGGCTCATGAATCGATGGGAAGAACGTTGGGAGCACTTGCAGCTCATCCTCGAAGTCTATCAGTTCGCGAGGGACGCGGCTGTGGCTGAGGCATGGCTTTTGGCTCAGGACCCATACCTTTTGAGTCGGGAATTGGGAGTAAGTGTTGGTTGAGTTGATTGTTGACTTAAAACTAATGTATGATATAATGTATGAATGATAGCATACCATCGATGAAGTGGATCAACTGATTAAAAAACACGAGGCCTTTGAGAAGTCGGCGTCAGCACAAGAGGAGAGATTTGCAGCTCTGGAACGACTGACTACGGTATGTATGAGTTCTTGGAAAGCATTGATTTGTTTGATTATAGTTTTCGATGAATATAATGACGGTTAAAATAATGATATATTTGTGGAGCCATTGAGTGCTTACTGTAATCGTTGACCAATTCTTGTATTATATATCTGTTGCCCAAAAGCTTGAGTTAAAAGAACAGGAAAACCCATTACAAGAAGTTGATAGAAGAAGAGCTTATGACGAACTCGATGATCATATGCGGAGATCTGGATATTACGATTCGGTGACACTTTTCCCTCTTTAAATGCATTCAAACAATAAGCTATTGTTTCGATAATACTTTACCTTATATTCAAATAACCCATTAATGCAATGATTGCAAGTGTTCGCCATTAAGCGCTCGTTAGTTGTGGCCAACAATCCATTAATGATCGACACTTCCTCTCACTATTTGGTTGTCATATATAAAGTGCTATTCCTTTGAGAAACGCTTTATTAAAATCATTGATAAGTTTGAATACATTTACCAATTAATGCCAACAATTGAAAACTTGTTGTAATTGTCACTTATATTCTTAAGAATTCTAAGTCATGTGAGAAATAAATTGGTTGTGAATTCTCTTCAATTATTATGGCTTTGCGTACATATAATGGCATGAATTGTGTCTATATGTTGATTATAATGACAAATATGATTGTTTTACTTAACTCTATTTGCCTCAAAGTAATTGAAATATTTTTGTAAAACAGTTTGAACTCAAAGAATACAAACAACAAGAAGAAGAGGCAGAACGGCGTCGATATGAAGAGCAACAGAAATTAAAGCCTCAGAAGTCTATATCACCCGATGAACAGCCCTATGACAGGTCTGTCATGTCTAACACAAACGTATTCCGTTTTAATGAAAATTGATTGTTCTCTGAAACAGAGCCGACGGCACAGAAGTCGGACCTTCCGGTGATGTGGAAGTCGAGGAGAAGATTGAAAGTAAGTAATATTTTCGGTATACGCTTTGGTTACGGGATTTTTGCTACAAAATCGTCACTTTTGGGCGCATATTATAAGGATAATGCAAATGTTTTGCAACGCGTGGTCTATAACTGCAAATTCGGCCGCTTTTTGCGAATGTTTTAAAACTGCTTTTTTGCCAACGCTTTCTAAAATCTAATCTCAAACTTTGAATGAATTTTAATGAAATATTTTGCATGAAATGCATGATTTGTTTTCATAACCTGTTAACCGCATGCAGAGGTCGTGATTACTCCTAAAACTCCGACCCTTTCGACTGTATCGGAAGCGACAGCTGTTTCCACACCTTATTCCAGATCTCCATCTCAGCCGCGCTCTGTTCAGACCAGTAAGTGTTGGTCACTCTCTCACTCCACTAATCTTCAGTTTACTTTTCGCATGTCTTTTCATTTAATACAATAATTTGATTAATTGCATGATTTTAAAGCCCCCGTCCCTTCCAAAGACAAGAGGTCTAAGAGATCGCGATCTAAGTCGCCGTTCAGCAGTTGGAGACGCAAAAAGTCGCCCTATTATGACACAGACTCGTCATCCGTGTCAGGTAGACATCATGAGTCTCGGCAATCACTGCACAGCTCTTACCATTTGATTGTTGACTCATTCATTAAATTACTGTTTTACTCACACTTGTCGTCGATTCCACTAATTCTTTAACCATTTTTACAGCAATTGATTGTTTGAATTATTGCTAACATTGTTTATGAACTGAATGTATAGAGAGACACAGCACTGCCGACGAGGATATCATAATCGAGGGCTCACTTAATCGCAAACACGAATGGGAGTCCACCACAAAGAAGGCCTCCAACAGGTGTGCCATACATTATATGACATAAATATATAGTTTACTAATGAGACCAATGTTTAGATCCTGGGATAAAGTGTATGTAGTGTTAAGAAGTGGTCAACTGTTGACATACAAAGACCAGAAGCACTTGAGACAAGACCGAAGCAGTGAAGCTGCCATTGAGTTGAAGGGCGTTGTCATAGAAGTGGCCACAAATTACACCAAAAAGAAACACGTGTTTAGAGTGAAGCTCCCGAATGGCGCCGAATATCTGTTCCAAGCGAAGGAAGACGAAGAGATGAGTCTATGGATGAGTAAAATTCAAGGCGCCATCACTGAGACGGAGTCGTCTCCCGGCCCCTCACGATCACAAACAATGCCCGCGAAGGGAGACGACGACCGCAAAGATGAGCCCAAAAAGCGAGGGTTTTTCACGTTAAAGAAAAAATAGTTAATAATTATTTTTAAGACAATAAGAGATAATAGAGTTTACGATATATTTAAAGCGTTGAACCGATTAATAAGTTCGACAAACAGTTAGTCAAAGCATTTTGTATTGAATTGTGCCGTTCAGTGGCTGTGCTTCCCATTCATTGATAACCATTCACTTGAGACAAAACACCACCAGAATTGCAGTTATTTTAAACAATTTGTGCACATATTTTATGCGACAAATTCTTAGCAATTATTTTATTAACCATTTGATTGATGGAAATTTAAAGGCAGTCTATTTCGACAATTTGTCGCACATTTAGTTCAAAATCATGTTTTAGATTGACTTTTAATTGCAATCATTATTCCTAAGATTTTTTTGACTGAAACATATTTATCATAAAATCAAACTTTAAATTAAATTACATTTAAATCATATTTCAATTAAATGTTTACAAATTCCATATTAACTAAGGAATGTCTATTGGTTATTGAATTGAAAACAATTTGATATTTTGTGAAATAACAGCAGTCTCTGAACGGATTGCTGTTTTGCAACACAGTTATTAAATATAAATTAAATAAATGGTTATAATTGTGAAGAATTGTGTGTTTCCATTGCATTCTCTATACGTTAATGCAATGAAAGCAATGATATTATTCTCGAAGCAATTGTGAAAATAAATTGAATTCAATTTACAGTATATTTAAGCTTATGATAACTCACTGCCACCACTACTGACACAACTGACACTACATTTGTTTCAATTATTTTATTTAAAACATTATTTAATTATAAGATATTATAAAATAGCATATTTACAATTATATAGATTTCATTTAATTATATTTAATTGTTTTTTATGTTCGCGTCGTTTGTATTCATTATTTCTGTTCTTAGGCTTCGGTTTTAAATCACTTTTAGTTCCGAATTGAAGAGAAAATACTTTTTCTAATCGATATAATTATATATAAAATAATTGTTTGATTGGAATTCAATACATGTCTCAAAGATTTCAACTATTTTTATCACAACTTTCTCTTAATTGATATCAAATACGAACCGAATTCTAGGACAAGAAATAATCGTTTTTTGTTTTTAAGTCACTTTTTTGGTAGAAATGTTAGGATTTTTCCATTTAATTGTCATTTTAATAGCTTTTGTCTTAAAGAAAATAATATATAAATGAGATTTGTTTTTGTTATTAAATCTGAACAATTATTTCCTATTTTAAAACCTATAGATATTTAAAAGATTTTTCGATAAATACTACATTGTTTTGAATTCTCATTAAATTCATTTATTATTAAAAAATATATTGTAATTCAATTTAAAATTCTCAATTTATTTCAAAAAAATATTTCAATGTTTTAAGTTATCATTTGAAAACAATTTTGTCGAGAAATACAGAGAATAAGTCAACGGTTTAAAGAAGAGATAGAAAGTTATCTTTTATTACAAATTTCAAGAAATGACAAATCGATAGCTTTTTAATCAATAGGTATTGCAATGTTTTTGTGGGTTTTGGTGCATATATTGAGTTTAGGCTTAAATCCAATTGATTCTTAAGATTTATTGGATCGGGAGTTAGAAGTGGAGGTGAGGGGAGGGGGTGGCTGTCGGGGCAGTAGAGTTGACTTTTCCGATTTGGAACCAATCGACGTATTGGTTGAGAGAATGGGTCGCAGAGGAGGCGGCGCTGAACCCACGCTTGATGTCGACTGAAGGCCACAATTATTGGATGCCGTGTGAGGAGAGTTGTCGCGCTCGACGGACACCGAATCGCTTTGACTGTCATTCTGTGAACAATTGAGTGATTGTTTGAATGAAATGATTGTCACAAATGATTGTCACAATGAATAGTGATTTAATACTTTGTTTTTATTCTCGTCGTCTTCAATGACTCCGTTTTCGTTTTCATATTCTTTGAGAACAGCCTTTAAGTTGAATCTCTTTTGATGGTTGGCATAGAAGGTGCGGACGTGGGCTTCGCTCTTGTTTCCAATCACTTCTGCGATGGCCTTAAAGTCTTTGCCGTATTTGCGGACGCCTTGCACTCCCAACAGCAGCTCATCGTTAGTCCAGCGGCTGTTGATACGAGTCGTGCTCTGAGGACATGGATTGGCAATAGTTTTACTCATTTGGACTCAATTTGTTGGAAAACAGTGAATCAATACCTCAATCGGTCGGAAAGCCTCGATGCCGTCCGATATCTTATGTTTCAATTGACTTATCATTTGTTTGTTGTTCTGAACGCTTCTCTTCAAAGTAATCACTTCGGAGTCTAAGCTCTTGAGAATGGCGTCTCCCTGTCCGGGCGGTCCGTTGGCAATGGCAGTCAAGTCCTCGTTACTCAAATACATTCCTCGCGGAGGTTTCCGTGGCTTTAGTTGGATGTGTCGGTTAGAAGAGGACTCGTGTTTCTTATGGTTAGTGGTGTTCTTCATGGCTCCGGTTCGGCGCCAATAAGAATAACACGTCCGACAAAGAACTCCTTTATTGGTGTTATGGAACTGACCGCTTGATGTCGTGAAACAGTTGGAACACATGGGCTTTCCATCCCTCGAGTTTTGAACCAACGATTCCTTAGCACCCGTCCCACTGTCGCTCTCGTTATCCGAACCGCCATCCGATCCCACGTCACTGCCGTCCTCCTTATGTGACGTCAACTTCTTTGCCTGTCTGTCCATAAGACTGGTTCGACTGCGAGTCTTCTTCCAGGAGTAGTAGTACTTCACTAAACTGGCGATCGATTTGTCCGGTAACTGATTGACGGCAACAATCATTAGTTAGTAAACGAGGACAACAGACAACAGGTTTGGTGTCAATTCTGACCATTTGTCTGATCTTATGAAAGTGTTTGTCGTGGAACTGGAAGGCCTGTTCGAACAGCACTTTGTCCTCAACGGTCCACTCATCGGGAAAGGGTGTAAAGTTGGGCAGATCTGCCATAGCCTTCTCCAGATTGAATTTATGCCAACACAACATTCCCAACGCCTGTTCGCTGTTATAGCTGTACTTCTCTTTCGACACATTCAGGTAATCGTCCACTAAATCAATCATGAAATCAAATCATTGCTACCAAACAATTGTCTACGAATTTTGGACATACATTTTGTCTCAGGGATGTCATTACAGGGCGACCACACGAGTACAGCCCGTTCTGGCTCGTGATCCGGTGCTAAGCACATGGAGTACTGGTTTAGTAACCAATGAACAAATCATTACAACTTTTATGTTAAATACCCGGCAATGAGGAAACCATTTCGGGAACCAATGCCTGATAGTCAGAGCCCACACGCATTCCTAGCATATCATAAATATAGTCAATAATGGATACAATGAATGGATGTCTGAATGTATGAATCAATTGAATGAGCAATGAATGGTAAGTCAAAGAAACGTTGATTTCAATGAAACCACAATTCATTAGTCAAGTGAATGCAGTCATTGTTTGCATAGTGTGTGTGGTGTGAGTGTAGTGTGCAGTGGATGTGGTGTGAAGTGATCATGAAAGAGGCAAACCGTGGTCGGAGTCATCGCTGTTGTTGCTGTCATCCGTGGAATGGATCCCATTATTCGTGTTCATCGTGTGATCCAAGCGCTGAGGACTTGTGGCCCGACTTCTCCGAGCGCTCGCACCGTTATATTTCGACTCATTGGCCGACCGCTCGGCCAATACCATTGTCGACCACTTCTTGTCTGAAGACAACACTCGATTGGAACTAATTTTGATCACTTCTTGTGCACCACTTTTACAAATCAATTGATTATTCAATGAATTAATTGTTTGAATGCTTTCGACAAAAGTCTATCAAATGGAGAGCAATATATGTGTTGCACTTTTGGGGATCCGTACAAATGCCAGTCAAAGCCCTTTTCTAACACTATTGAGCCCTAACTCAACACTACTCCTCATATACGCTATACGGCTATACCTGACAAGTGGTCACTCAGTGGACACACCATTGGGTGGACACACCATCCCATGACTGTCCATCACTCGCACCACACACTCACACACTTCCGCCGCAAACACGTCCACACTTACCATCCATTCAATCACTTGCGGACACCTGTATTGAGTCAAAAGCGGCGCTTTTCTATTGGTTGACGTATTGTCTGATAGGAAGCGCTTCCGACCATTGATTACAAAAATAATACAAATTATTGTTATTTTGGGAAAAGTGTGCAAATTATCACAAATACATCCAAAGAGTCATTTATGAGTCAATGGTAAGAGTTATGCTATTATTTGCTATTAATTTATATTATCAACAAATCATTGAATGAGTGAATGTGTGGCCATGTATGCATTCATTCCTCTGGAGTCCAAAGTTGTGGTACTATTTGGTAGTTCTGAAGGCATTCGGGAATCGATTGCGTCGAGCGTTCACTCGAATCGCTCTTTGAGTCCGATTGCGATGATTGACACAAACCATGGCTTTCGGGAACTAATTGCTCGTCAATTGTCTTCGCTTTGACTGAATTGCCTGAGTTGTGGTCAGAGTCTGACTTCGGGTCTTCACATTCCTCGTCAGAATAGTCATCGTTTTGATGCAAACCCTTGTCCTCTGACTCGTTGTCCACTGTTTGCGAACTGTTCTCATTCATGACGCAAGTCTTGGTCCTCTTGGCAGTTGTCTCGCCATCACTCATCTGTTCCACCGTTGGATCCAATTTACGTTTACCTGTGTTTGACTGCGAACTCATTGTCTGCTTATATGGTGTCACCGATTGTCTGAATGTCTCACTCGACGTGTCTCTCAATCACTTGCATTCCAATCGACTATTCATTCATTCATTCAATGGTTTTGTGCTATAATTGTGTTGACGACTAATGAATGCATTTCTCTATTAATATGTGTTATACTTATCCCCAGAAAGAGATTCGCGTGACTCCTAAGTCTGACACCAA